TAAGAATCCCATTCACTGAAATAGCCTCACTGTTTTTTCAAGCTTTTTATAGAAGACAAATCTGCTTTAATATTTAACAGAGGTATTTGAAGCATATTTTATGAGTCACTTTTGAATAGTGCCTATCTAGTGCATATCTCTGACACTTACCTAATAAAAACTCCCAAAGTTTATTGATATTTGAACACAGAGATGGGCAGTATATAAATTTATTAATAAATAAATACATTTATTCTTACCAAGAAAATACAGGTAGTGTTGACCTACAACCATAATTGAGTCTAAAATTTATGTTGCTAAGGGAGACATTTGTTAAGTGAGTTTTGTCTCATTTTATGACTTTTCTTGCCACCGTTAAGTGAGTCATGCGGTTAGTAACATGGTTGTTAAGTGAATCTGTCTTCTCCGTTGACTTTGCTTTCCCAAAGGTTGCAAAAGGGATCACATGAACCAGAGATGCTACAACAGTCATAAATACGAGTCACTTGAAAAGCATCTGAATTTTCATCACATGAACATGAGGGTGCCCCAATGATTGTAAGTGTGAAAAAGTTTTGTAAGTCATTTTTTTCAATGCTGTTGTATCTTTTATTGATCACTAAATGAACTGTTGTAGGTTGAGGACTATCTGTATAACATTGCATTGCATATAAATACTATTTGGGTGGTAGATGTTTAAAGAGACAGGAGCTCCTTAGCTATCATAGTGTATAGATAAGCAAAATCATAGCTTGTACATCACAGATTAAAATTATGCTGCTTAATTTTAATTGGCAAATGATTATTTGGTGTAAATACCTTTTTGTCCATATATTTTATATTCATTTTCCAATTTCTTTTCTTGAAATTTACGTAACTGCAGAACATCTTCTGTTAATAAATAACGTTTTGCTGAAATTGGAACAAGAAAACACAGTAGTTTATTTATCCTAAAAATAATTAGTTTTAACCTTAAACAAATAACCATTATTTCCAACTAGAAAAATGACACAAGATCTCAGAGACTTTTTCCTTTATGCAATCAATAATAATCTGATATGTCATGATTATAAGCATTTTATTGTAATACTTAAATAAGTTTCCACTATGATCACTTCTACTGTAACAGTAAAAGATTTTGTAAAATAAATGTGAATAAGTTCCATTTCTTCAAAAACAATGAGTGTCAAGTCTCAATCATTCTGATTTCTGATGCTCTCTACCAGCTTCCCACAAGGATCTCAATGGGGAAGCCAGCAGAAAGTCAGAAATCATTCCCGCTCCCCCTGCTTTTTGTCCACCCAGGGTCATTCTCTTTCTCTATTTAGGTAAGGAAATATCTCTGAAAGGATGACCCAACAAGTCACAGGCTGTCTAATAACTGCTGAAAATCATCACCATACTTTCCTACCAGTTTAAATAATGAAATATGCATTAGGGATGGGACAATCACTTCAATAAGCTTATTATAGTTTTAAAAACAGAGATAAAATATAGAAAGGTAGAAAAGATAAATGTAAAAAATAAAACATTATGGTCTTATCTATGTGTGACTTGGTCTTATCCACTTTTCAGTATTGGCCTGCTAATTATAGTCCTCACTAAAAAGAACCTGTTGGTTCTTTTTACTCCTGGGCATTAATACTGTCCACCCCATCACAATAATGGATCCAATTTAAATCTGAACTGGGTCAATATAATCTATGAAATCCGTTTACACATTCCTTTATTCTTATTCATTGATTCCCATTTGTATGGTACATACTTGCCTAGTACTGTTAAAATTGTTTCTTGTATTGTTTGACTTTTTGACAACACACTATATAAACACAAAACATCTTCGCTTTGTACTTGTGGAGTTGCCTTCCCTAATTTGGCTCTCTCTGGATGTTGTTGGAAAAAATGGCCAGAGAACATTGTCAAAGTTCTAGTCCCAAATAATAATTAGTGAATAATTAATATTCTCCCTCTCCTAAGCTATATTTCCAGAATACACTGTGTGCCAAATTGGGAGTAGCATGAATGCTACCTTGAGCTCTTGAACAAAAGGCGAGATAAAAATCAACCAAATAAACACACTATTTGTACTAACCCAGAATTAGGTACTGACATTGGTGTTCTTATGCAACAATTTAAAACACAACTGATTTATTTCTGGTTCAGTTGCAGTACATATTAATTCACAGAAAGGGCTAACTTTTCATTGGCAGTAACAATGAAATCCCCAATAGTGGAAATGTTTGTCTCTTCTGACCTCAGGGGTTTCAACTGATGCAGCATACTCTTCACAAGTCCTACAGGGGAAAGGTAGCTTGACTAGTTCCTTGATTGTATAGCAACTGCTCAGCTTTCTTTCTTGCTCATGATCAACTGAATGCACATTTGGTTGATTTTGCTGATTCTACTTTTGATTCTATTTCAAAACAGCAGGCAGGATTGATCAGGATTATTCTGCCTCTTTACAACTGTTCCCATGCATATGGTAGCTTCTGGGGTGCAATGGAGTCTGGAATGAAATTGACATGAATGTTTTTTTGCAGAACTGCTATCTCCTGACAGACTTTGCTGTTAATAGCTGGCAAAGACAGATATCAGGCAAGAGGAGTCCAGCAACATCCTCCTTAAATTCAAGATGTGTCCATTTGTCTAAAAGGATGATCTAGTACAGGGGTCTCCGACCACCCGGTCTGCAGCCCAGTACCAGTCTGTGGCCCATTAGGAACTGGGCTGTGCAAGCAGTGGGAGAGTGTGTAAAGCTTTATTTGCACATGCACGGGATTAGGATGTGCACAACCATCCCCTCCTCTTGCCACCACTGCTCCTTGTTGCTGCTGGTCCATGGGCCCAAAAATGTTAGGGACTGCTGATTTAGCCAAATCTAGACTTTTCTTGCTGATTTACCTGATCATTGCAATTATCTAGGGTTCCCCCCCCCCCCCCCCCCCAAAGGAATGATTGTAAACTGGATAAATGAAAGTGGCAACTGTATATATTTGGCTTAGCACCAACTAAGTATCAACAGAAGTTAAATTCTTTAATATTTGAAGCATGCTAACTTTTATTGTAACTGTCACCTGCATATAATTATAATTTCCTAAAAAAAACCCAATTAGAATTAATCACAATGTACATATTTCATGTGTGTTTAAATCCTATATTATATAAAATATGGCCTTTCAGCTGAATGAAGTTGTATAATTTAGAACTGCATATGTGGATCTAACTGGGTAAGTTGTAGTGGTTAGTTCTATTTTTTACTCTATTTCATTAGTAGCCCTATACCCATACTTCGCTACCAAACTATGTGATCAGGCTTGGTTTTTGGGGAGGAAAATATGGGGAAAAAATTGTGCCTTTGCCTACCAGCATCCATGGGTTAGCATCCTGTCAGTGTGTGAGAGAATTGAGGGCTTTTTGGAAACTGAAACATGGAAACTGAAACAGAATTTGCTGTGTGAGCAAGGAGACAGCAAGGAGCCTGGGTGTGGCTTAGCTCAACTGTTCTGTACTTAAAGCTACTTGCTGCTGTGAAACTAAAACTGAAACTCCTCTCCTCTGCTTGTGTTTTGCATTTGAAACAGATTTATTTTCAGGTGGGGAGGGGGGAGTAGAACTCCTTAGCATCAGTGTGTTTATAATATATGAAATATATGGTCATTTCGAAAAATCCTTTCTTAGTGAGCACCTAGAAGCCAAGAGGAACATATGTGCCAAATTTCAAGTTTGTAGGCTTTACTGTTTTGGAGATTTTGTGATGATGCGTGAGTGGTATTTCACTTTTATATATATAGATGTAAAGTCTTATTATTGTTTTGCATGTTGTATATTGATATGGCTCCTGATTAATCAATACTTATTATTACTGTTATGTGGAATTTCAATATTAGCATTTTAAAAATAACATTGGCATTTTAACATGAAAATCTAGCTCTCTTTTTTAACTTTAGGAAAACGTTGCTAAATTAGCGAAGGCCATTTCTTTTGGTATGTGAGCACTAAACAACAGAGCACACTCTGAAAGCACTTGCAAATTTTAAGAAAGTTACAAACCCAACTGGGAAACTTGTGAAATGTTACCTAGAATGAATGGTTTACATGTAATTAATATCTTTTATTTTTTGATCACTTGATTTCTGATGTATCACATATATCCAATGTATGTATAATTTTATTCTGGGCCCTAAAAAGACTTCACTCTCCTCCCACTTTAATAAATGCTTTTTGCTTGCCTGAATTACTTGCAAAGGTAAGTGTCTCTCCCAAAGTCAGGGATCAAAGTCTTAGCAGCTCCACGTCCAACTCGGGGTGCCTGACTTTCGAAACCACAATTTGGAAGCTCGCACCCCTCGGGGCTCGGATTGACTCGCTTCAATCACAAAACATGCCTGCCGGCACAGGGCAACTTCACCCACGCGTCTTCCCAAGGAGGCAACATTACTTATAAGATCTGTATGGTCCTCCACCTTAAAAAACACCTTTGGGCACCTTAAAAAAATTGTGGTTGTTGTTATTGAAGATTATACATTAGAAACCCCAGAGCTGGATTTTATCCATTTATTCGATCGCTTTTTAAAGAGGGACCTAGAATGTCCAACCCCCTTTCTTTTCTTAACACCAGATCCAATGTACCTCCTTGTAAACAGTTCCAACAGCCAACTCTGTCCGCAACCAGCCGACCAGCCGCGGGACATTCGGCTGCCTTTCGCAGGAGTCGACCGGACGTTCCAACCACCAGCGCAGCCATCTTACCGCCGAGACATACGAAGAACCGCTACAGGGAGAGAGGCGCTAAAGGACCGCCAAGAAGTGTGCCCTTCTTTCCCTTAGCACTCTATGGTCACCTATGCTTTCGCTTAGCGGGCTGGGGAAAACTGGACCTTTTATGGCATGTGGACTTCAACTCCCAGAATTCCTGAAACCAGCTACGGTGGCTCAGGAATTCTGGGAGTTGTAGTCCACATGTCATAAAAGGGCCATAGTTCCCCATCTCTGGCTTAGTGCCTTTTAAGCAGCTGGTCTCAACCGCAGCAGCAAAAAGGCGTTTCTTCCCTCTTACTGCTCCTCCCATCTGGATCATAGATGTGGTACGCGCCAAAATGGCAGCGTTCATATTTCAGCGTGGGTTACTGCAGAGCCGGACTACCGTGAAAAATTGGGCGGCGACAGGTGGGTCGCTTCAGATGGAAGGAAAATGGGAGTCTTCCTCAGAGAATCTGTCCGTTTTTTTTACGATTCTTAGTTCTGGAGGTGTTTTTTTTTTTTCAGTTGAAGGTTTTACTGATTTTTTGGAATCAGTGATTTGATAGCCAGTGACGATTTTTATAGATCATTTATTTAGGCTAACTAGTTCAGGAGTCTTTATCCCTAACTAAGAATCTTTGCATAGAATGAAGCTGCACGTCAGGATGTGCTCTTCTCTTTAATATCCATGTGGAATTGATAAGGTTATAAGACCATGGCCAGCTTAGCCTTTTGATTTTCTTATGTGTTGTTGCCTAGCCGCCTTATTTCAATAGAAAATATGTCACTCCCCATCAAAGTCAAATGTCTGTCAAATTACACAACAATGCTAGATTAGTGTCAGTAAGAAGAAAGGGCCATGTTATGGTAATTCTTTTGTTTTAATTCCAGTTTGTTGAATATTCTATTGTGTGGTCCAAACATTGCTTGAAGACATGATTCAGAATCCTCAATGCTGGATTCACATATTAAGTTAAACTAAAGTGTAGTTTTTGAAGTGGCTTTAATAAAGTATGAAAGAAATATATTTTCTTTCAGGCTATAAATCAAAGTGTTTCAATCAGTGATCTTTATTGTTGAATGCTAAAATGTAAAACAAGACTACCAGAAAGTTAAATGAGGTTTTAGATTGAGTTTGGTGTCTTAATAAACCTTTTGGAGCAAAAAGCAGTTTACACTATTCCTCCACTGATTTGAATAGTCATGAATGTAGTGAAACTTCTGAAAAATGTTTCTTGGGCCAATTACATAAAATACTTCATTTTAAAATTTATATGGCTTCCTTTAAGTCTATCAATATAATATACCGTATATTGACCTATTTCGTGTACACCGAAGAAACATAGTGTAATTCTTCAGAAATATTCAGAAACTAGTTTTTTTCATAGAATATGATCTGGGGAAATTTTCACCAATTTGCGTAGGATATTGATTTCAAGCAGCTCAGTGGGCTGAATAGTTTATAGTGCTCTCACAATAAAAGAGTTAGGATTACATGGAGAATTGATCTATTTCCCTCATTATCCTCTACATCACAGGTGGAAACCTTTGGAGCAAGTGGCCACATTTGAAAGATTAAAACTCACATGAAACAGCTGTTGTGAATAATCTTGTCAATTCAGAAAAAAAAATCACTATAACAACCCTATGATCTATAAAATACACTCTGCTCTTCTTTATCATTGTAATCCATCATTTTTGTAATTTGTCTTTTTTGTTTTCTTACAATTGTATGTATACCATCTATGGGTCCCAAAGGTTTTCTGGGAAACAATGATGCAAGATGGTGCCTTGCTTTACAGCCTGTTAGCTTTCACCAGTATTGTTAATACCTGAACAAAAGTCAAGTGGGTAGAAGCTAGATGTACACATAGACTGACTTGTAACCACAATTGAGCCCAAAATTTCTGTTGCTAAGTGAGACATTTATTAAATGAGTTTTGCCCTGTGACCTTTCTTAGCACAGTTGCTAATTAAATCACTGCAGTTGGAAGTATTGGCACTGTACTCTTAACCTTATGATTTTTGATGAATGTATCTTTACTTTTTATGTACACTGAGAGCATATGCACCAAGACAAATTCCTTGTGTGTCTAATCACACTTGGCCAATAAAACATTCATTCATTCATTCATTCAACAATTCCTGTGCTGTGTTCATACTGTTTTCCAAACAGTTGGGAGGAACATAGATTAGGCTATTGCAAGATTGCTTTTGGAAACCTTTCATGGACTTCACTTGGCAAAGGTTAAAATAAATTTAGATACTTGTACATAATAAAGAGACCATTGGGATGTGGGAGGAACTGTTAGTCAGGTTTTCAGCATATTAAGTCTTGCCTGCTCAAAACCATTGAGAATGTTATTTCAGAACTTCCCATCTCTGCTTTCTGAATCCTCACCAGGGTGCTTCTCAAAACTAGATTTTCACTTTAGGGGTTAGGATTTTTAGAATTTTTATCATATTAATATTTATTCTAAAGAAATATTGGGAACATTATTGGAAAGTTAGTTTCTATATAAGGAGTTAGTGGGTCAATGTTTTGCATTTATTAGAACTCTAGAAGTAAGCTATGCATTTCTTTGTAACCTTTTGCACTTTTTCCCTATTGATGTGTTTGTTCTTATAATTCATATTTTCTATGTTTTTCTTTTGTACATTAGAATAAAAGATGGGAGTTGTATGTCATTCAGAGTTTACTTAAAGTGGAGTAATTTGTAAATCTTATAAATAAAAAAGCTTTTGTACCAATATAAGATATAGGGAATTGCTATTTTGATTAGAATTAGAATTCTTTATTGGCCAAGGAATTTGTCTTGGTGCAAATGCTCTCAATATACATAAAAGAAAAGATACATTTGTCAAGAGTCAAGAATCATAAGGTACAACAATAAGAGTCATAAGGTACAATAAGCAATCAAATCATACTAGGAAACAATATAGATTGTAAGAATACAAGCAACAAAGTTACAGTCATACAGTCACAAGTGGGAGGGGATGGGGTGATAAGGAGTGATGAGAAGGTTAATAGTAATAGTAGTGCAGACTTTGTAAATAGTTGGACAGTGTTGTGGGAATTATTTGTTTAGCAGAATGATGGCATTTGGGAAAAAACTGTTATTGTGTCTAGTTCTGGTGTGCAGTGCTCTATAGCGTCGTTTTGAGGGAAGGAGTTGAAACAGTTTATGTCCATGATGTGAGGAGTATGTAAATATTTTCACAGCCCTCTTTTTGACTTGTAGAGTATACAGGTCCTTGATTGAAGGCAGGTTGGTAGTAATTGTTTAACTCTGCAGTCCTAATTGTCCTCTGAAGCCTGTTGGGTTGCAGAACCAAACCAGACAGTTATAGAGGTGCAGATGATGGACTCAATAATTCCTCTGTAGAACTGTATCAGCAGCTTCTTGGGCAGTTTGAGCATTCTGAGTTGGCGCAGAAAGAACATCCTTTGTTGTGCTTTTTTGATGGCGTTTTTGATGTTAGGTGTCCATTTTAGGTCATGTAATATAATAGAACCTACAAATTTGAAGGTCTCTACTGTTGATACTATGTTGTCTAGTATTGTAAAAGGTGGTAGTATGATTAATTGAACAGAATAGCCTTTCAAGTTTTAATGAACTTTTTAAATGGAAAATGCTATATAGTTATCATTGGACCATCTGAGTAAATCATTTATTGGGTGAGATCTATTGAATTTTATATAAATATAATCTGTGGTGAAGGTGAGATATTTTAAAGCTATAAATAGAGTCGACAGAAACACTATCAGGGCTCCAAATTTATAGAATCTGAATCCCAAAGGATGGTAAAAATTAAATGATTCCTAAAACAATAATTGCTACTATAGCAGTTATTACCTGGTGCATTTAATGTAATTAATATAATGCATAAAAATAAGTGACTAATGATTTTTCAATGTGAAAATCTTCTAAAGGACTTTCTTTGACCTCTTTTATTAGGTAAAAGAGGTATTCTTTCAGCAGTATATGTGGACAGTACAATATGGGAACAAAGAAAAAAGGAAGAACACAGCCTGGGTAAGGAAATGAATGTGTCTTTTTTTAATCTTGGGTTTACAGGAGCTAACATAATGGTGAACTATGATCTAGACTTAAATGTACTAGTATTCCAAATGCTGATTTCTCAAAGCAAGAGTGCCTGCTTGAGTTTTTTAATGTGGGGCTAAATACTTGAGAAAGCAATGATGACAATACAGTATGTGACAAATTTAATGTTCATTTCGTTCAGCAATCTTTTTGTTGTGATCAAAACCATATGAGACACAGGAATTCATGGCAGCTTCTTTCCCTTATATGTTGAATATGTCTTTTTGCTTCTCTTTTTATCTGTGGTCCGTATCCTTGGCTATCTCTTTCAGGGTAGAGGAAGCATACAACTTCCTGATACTGGGAAACAAGTTAATTGTTTTTCACATTACCAAGATGACATTTATAGATAGCAGTATTGTGTCTTCTAGCTAGCAGCAGTTTTCTATCATCCATCATCTCAACAGCTCCAATCTGGAGCTGCTGTTACTTCTGTTTACAGTTCAATAGTGTACAGGACTGTAGCCGTGTCATTAGAGGCTAACCAATTCATTGTGGCAGAACTTGCATAAAATTCTTAAATATACCAAAATATAACACTGAAAGCAAAATAGGATGAAATATTAGGGGAAAAGCAGCCAAGTTAGGACATTCAGAGTTGTGCAGTGTCTTTTACTTGAACGCAAGATGGCGCTGTGTCTTTGTGAGTGGTAGCATTTCTCAGTCAAAGAGAATTACAATTTGTACAACAATGGTCAGTCAGACTAACCTTGCAGCGACTAGCTCTCTGCAACAAAAAAAATCATGTGTGAAAATCAAACAAGAAAACTAAGTTGTCAACAAAAACTACTATGAAGAGGAAAGAACCAGTGACGAGGATGCTTTCCCATAAGCTATGGAGGTGCGCTCTTATCCAGAGACAAAAGTTGTAAATTTCTGATTGTCCTTTTAAAAATGTGCTATTCTATCCTCATACATCAAAGTGATCAGCACACCAGTTTGTAATCCAGTCAATCTCAACATGGTACTTACATGCTTATTCCATCTCTGTAATGGAAGTGTCCCTAGAGGCAACATTATAAGCAAAAGGTCACATTTGGAAACGGAGGGTGAGAATAAGCAGATTCCCGAAAGCAATGTTCTGTAATAAGCTTATATTCTTCCAGAGTGGCTGCTCTACTGGATTTTTCCTCCTTCATACTTCTGAACTGTGAAGGGTTTGCCATGTTGCAGCAGGGCTTGTCTGCAGATTCTACATTTGGAACTTGATATATATCTGTATTGGAAAGAAAACACTTGGTACATGAGGCGCTTCTAACTTTCCTCATATACCTTTTGTTCATGGCCATAATAATTTAAACATAGGTTTTGTTACTCTTTTACAAATTGAAATGTGTAGTTAACATGAAACACTTTTATGATGTATAACGCAGCAGGTTCATTGAGAGGAGGAGGAGGTGGAGGAAAATGGTGTTTGGGTTTTTCATTGATTAAAAAAGTAGGATGTGCTAAAAAAAAACCCATAGTAAAGGAGAACAAAAATGATTTTTGAAAACAAATCATATTTGGATTTTTATCCCAGAAAAAGACACATGGAAGCACTTTGTACAATTATAGATGATGACAAACCAAACAGTTATTTTTCTCTCTCCTTGCTGTTCTCATTATGAATTCAGAACAAAGAAAAAGATTACCATGGCACATAATTAAAATAAATATAGGTTATAATGATGACTTCCAACATAGCTTTAAAAAGGGATAAGACAGTTTAGTGAAGGATAAGCCTGTCAGTGGTCATTAGCACACAATGGATCTTGCTGGCTCAAAGATCAGATGCAGCACACGGTGAATACTGGTTCTGGAGAAACAGCTGAATGAGAAAACTACATTGTCTTTTAAGTCCAAGATCCTGGACTTTGTAAACCTTGCCAGTTCAGACCAAGGACTGCCCTGATATTCTTAATCTGGTGAAGCAGGAAAGTTGCTGTATCTTCCAAGGTTTATATTTAGAAGATTCAGCAAAACACATTGAAAAGTATGGCATATTGAATTCTAATGAATTCAAATTACATTTATGGATACTCTTTGTTTAAGGAGCAAAATGAATTTTCTGCTCTAAAGTGTCTTAAAAACTGTAACACTTATGCAGACTTTATCCTACCCTTTCATTCATGGTATCCTTACAGAAATTACTTGCACACTGTTTTATGCTGATGCGGTTCCATTAAAAATGCACTAACAGCACTGATCTATTTTGAAGAATATGCCAGCAGCTATTATATAGTAAGCCTTTATTGACTGGTGCTGCCTGAAGCTAGCTTTGAACCAGCAATTTTTGGGAAGTGAAACATTTTTATCTCCTGTTACTAGTCCCTTGAGTCACCAATTTGTAAGAGCAGGAATCTTCTATGACAGCTTTAAGGTGAATTTAATCAATAGGCAATTTTAGATTTCATTATTTTAGGAGGTAATAGTTAACTATTGAATGGATCCATTTAGAGCTGGTTACGATTTTCTTTAGTTGATTACATTCCAACATTTAAGAAATAGGCCATGCCGATACTTCATTATACTTCATGAAGAGGTTGAACTATTAAATAGCATTAAGCAGTTTTCCAGAACAGTTCCACTGATTTAAAACTTTTTCTTTTTTAGCTAGATTTTTTTTAAAGAATACAAAATGAAATGCTGTTTTCTATATTAATTGGGCTGACAGATAAATTTGATCTTTGTACATGGCTTGTTATCTGATCCTTCATCACTTGAATTATTACGTTAATGGAACTGACCAGTTTGTGGAAGTTTAACTGTATCAGAATACAGATACAATGTCATATATTTCAATAGGTGCTTCAAGAATTAATGTTAATGTTTGAAATTAACGGTTGCCACATTGGCAAGCGAGAGACTGTGAGTTCAAGTTCTGCCTAAGCCATGAAAGCTGGCTGGGTGGTCACTCTCTCTCAGCCCAACCCACCTCACAGACATAATTTTATTTAGCGACTGCTTTGCTTAATGACCAAGCAATCTCTTGTGGCCCACTGCCATTTGTTTTTTTTAAAAAACACAATAAATTCACTACTGCTAAACATTGGCACTGCCAGAAGGATATACTGTCGCCATTGCCCCAACAGATATTCTGCCAGATACCTCCAGGCCTCACCTACCTCACCAACTCCAGTGCTGCTGCTGCTGCTCTGCTAGCCATCTAACACCTAATGTTGCTTTGTGGCTCGTGTGAATTTTTAATTTAACAATGTGACCCTTCCCCCTCACCTCCTTGAGTTCTGCCTGTGTTTATTCTCAGGCTTAGATGACACTTTATTGCCTTGTAAAGATGTAGGAATGTAGGAAGATGTTTGGAATGTTTGGAATGACTATACTTCGTTTTCATTTCTTGTTTTTTCATCCAGTAACTCTAATGAGTAAAAACTAAAGATGCTGTTTTCCCCTGCAGCCGATTTAGCCAATTTGATGGACAGAACCTATGAAAAAAACCTACCGGTCAGCTCTTTAACATTATCTCGGGTAAGAACATGACATCCAATTCAACAAAAATAAACCAGATAAAATAAACATCTTGGTATTTTAAACTAGTATTTTAGTTGAATTGCCACATGCATATAATTCTTTCTGCATATACTGGGATAGTTATTTAAAAACTTGGGAGAACTAGTTAGCTACTTTGACTTGTTATGACTTATTGTCTCATGGCTCCTTGGATATGTATATAGGGCAAGCTCCATTTCCTCATTCCCTAAAACCTATAAATAGAATTATTGTGCAAAGCATTGCTAGTGTATAAGAGTCATGTGAATCAAAGCAATTACTAAATTGTCTTTTTTCCTAAAGGAAAAATAAGTTTTTCTGGGCCACAGGGGACATGCAATTAAGAATATATTTGTGTAGTGTTTATTATGAACAGTTATAGGTGTGCCAGAACATGCCTATATAACACTTCTGCTACATGAACTGCACTGGTTATCAATAGGCTTCTGAGTACAATTCAAGATGTCAGTTGTCCTCCATAAAGCTCTACATGGAATGTTATTTGAGTGACTCTCCTCAGATTTTGCTACCTATTTCCCACACTTTTATCATCTTATTCCAATTCCAATTAAATTATTTGAATGCCACATTTTATGTAGCCAATATTAGGCACAAAAAATCAGGACCACATATAAAGTTGCAGTTCAGAAGATTTATTGCTGAAGTTTATATAGAAAAACCTAGTCAACAAACATTTTATACAAAATTGCTGCCTAATAAGGCTCAACAGAATTCATGAAGGATGGACTTAGTTTTGGGGACCATAATGGCTCTAGGCTGATGATTCTCTTAGTTCAGCTCCCCCACAGCTCTGCCTTTTCTCCCCCCTACAGCCTAAAGTACAAAGCTACATACCAGAAGGTACCAGTAAAAGTAAAAACGAATGAAGGTGAATATATGTGTCCCAGGATAATGTTGCAGAGTGCAATCTGGATCAGTCACCACTCTGCTGGGATGGTTTCTAGCATGAATCCAAAAGCTTGGAAGACTAAACCTCTAGTTCCAGAGACTGATCCAGATTGGATCCTGCAAAAGTAAAAACATTTTTTTCTTTCCAAGTGAAGGCATTTTTATGAACAGCATAATAAAATCTGGTTATCTTCAATGGTAGCAGATTGATTACTGATTGCTGAGGACAAAAAAATTAAGAAAACCACCTGTGAGAGGAAATAGAACAAAATGTTAGAAAACTGGTACAATATTATTTTATTCTGCACCAATTTGTTCCATTTAGTCTTTGCCTTTAATTCCTAAATCCCCAATTTCTGGAGGCTCCTGACTTTGTTCCTAATAATACTGTCATATTGGTACTATGCTACTATATATAGTAATTATAAGTCTAATGATATTAATAATTATCATATATACTTAAAAGGAACATGTTCCTTATTTCAAGACTACTTCCTCATAAAAAGGAAGATTAAATACAAAAAGTAATCTTTAGTCTGGTTTTTAATCTTCTTTCGGGTAAAGGTAATAATTGCAAATTAAGTGAAAGTGCTATAGTGATAATTTTATCCATATGTCACTTTAAAGTGATTTTTTTACTATATTGCAGTTATATCTGACCATGCAATGTTCAGCCACATCTGAGAGACTGTCGATGATTTATCTGGAAGATCATCTCTAAACTATTTTTCCCTTAGTTTATAGATACCATTTCTTCACGTGAGCATGTGGATCAAACTGAATATTATCTATACAAGTAAGCCACTCTTTTAGTTTTATAATAAAATCATATATTTTCATTGCACACTTTGTTCTCACTCTTGGCTTCAATTAATTTAATCATACATTGCTTGAGAATCAACTTCTGATCATTATTCTGGATAGCATTAATGTCTAGAGACCCATAATACAGTCATTAGTTGCCTGTTAGGAAGTATAATTTTGCTGCTATAATTTTGATCATGGAAATAATCTTCTCACTGTGGTGATTTCAGAACGAGAGAATGTCAGTGGTATTCTCTAAAGCAGCGGTCCTTTTCCAGCTTTTCCAGCTTTGTGGAGCAGTGGTTGGAGAGAGGAGATTGTTTCACAAACGTGCCCCTTGTGCAAATGCAGCTTTGCACGCTTGCCTGCTTGCCTTGCTTGCACAGCTCAATTCCTAACAGGCCATGCCCAATACCAGTCCATGGACTGGAGGTTGGGGTCCTCTGCTCCAAAGCAACACTGAGCCTAGGTGGCATTTAAACAGCGATGACTGTAGAGGAAGCCAACTATTTGTGCCCCAGAGTAATGCTGGATCTCAAGGCTTATGATCATATTGCCAGAGATTCCTCTAACCACTCTCTGGAAAATGCAAAAAAGAAAAGAAAAGTTTGGGCTGCCTCCCAGTCAGCTGAAATATATTACTATGTAACGGTCTATTTGGCATGTCATATTCCTTCAAGTGTTTGGGGCCTCAACTTTGGGGCTGATTTATTGCTAAGTATATATGTGGCATATTTGTCAAATGTGGAATCAGTGATATTTCAGTTTGATATGACAAAATTGAGTGTAAATGTGACAAATTTTAAGAGAGGCAATGTCAGTGTGTGCTCCCTTCAAAATCCAAGAAAGAAATACCCAGACTCCATGGATCAGAGCAAAGTTATTCTTTTACTGGAAATTAAAGTGGAAGCTACAGATGGAATTCCGAATCTGAGAATTTGGCGCGCAGATCACATATACAAAGGAATGGAATTGTTCCCACCCCACAAAGTCCAGAAGTCTCTTCCAATTAAAAGTTCTGAATATGATCATGTGGGCATCTTCAGATGGTGATGAGGCCTCTGTCCGTTGACCTTGACATATTTTGATAAAACTTTGCAGCTGCGCAAAAAGGGATAGAAGCTAGCAAGGAAATGGAAAGTTGAAAAGAAGAAATCATAAACCCCCTCCTTTTGCTTACCCACAGTAAAGGAATGCAAAACACCTCCAGCTCTCTTCCCCCCACAATTACCCCTCCCCCCCCTTGCTATTGACAGCCGAAAGAATTAAGCCTAGCAGTAGAGAAGATATAGTAGATAGGATATGAGAGAGATAAATGAGATAGATAGCAGTTAGGGTAGCCGAAGAGATCTTGAGGCTGACAGGCAATGTGATGTTTTAAATGTGTTTAAAGTATTGGACTAAATCTTGGGAGACCCAGGTTCAAATATACTCTTATCCATGGATAATTTTAGATATTTTTCAGGGCTTATAAACTGCTCCAATCTCAAACAACTCTCAGCATCCCTACATTCTTTCTCCCCTTTTCTCTCTGTTTTTTTAGAGATTTTAAAAGTGCAGCCAAGAAAAAAGAAACAAGGGAGCAAAAGAAGAGATTTATAAAAATGAATAACAATGTTCAAACACATGCTTGTATATATACATATATAAAATGAATATATATCAATTTGGCAAATTTAAAATTATGAGAATAAATCAGTCAGTAATTAACAAAATCAGCCAATAAGAATTATCAATTGGAATGAACAATTAAGACAATTTCATCAGAGAAAGCCTGTCTTTATTACAACAAATTAGACTAAATGTGACATTTTAAGAGATCCCAACTTAGGTGTTGTGCAAGTTCAAGTGTAGAATTATAGTCCAGAAATGTTCTCAGATTACATTTAATTCAGTGTCAGCCTTGTTTAACAATAGTATATTTTTAAAAAATAGATTGATGCCTATCCCATATCTAAGCCTGCAGTACTTCTAAAGAAGGAATTATATGCAATTTTCAATATGAAGCATGAGAATCCAGCAGCTACTATCATATGCAAAACCTACTCGGTATACTTGACAGGAATATAAAGCTTTGTAATCCTTAAGTATTGGCAAAAGGAAATGTTAATATTTGTTTAACTATAAATGAAACCATCTTCAAGAATTGTTGAGCCATTGCCACCAAGTCTCCCAAAAGGATCCAAAATGGTCATTGTATTTCCAGCAGTTTTTGAATATGAATACAAGTAGTCATCAACTTATGTCCATTCTTCAGCTCTTGTTCAAAGTTATTGTGGTGCTGAAAAAGGAACTTACTACCTGTCCTCCAAGTTTTGGCTATTTCAGTGTCCCCATGGTTAAGTAATCACAATCTGGGCTATTGGATACCCAGCTCATGCTTGTGCTTATTGCAGCAAACTGCATCACATAATCACCATTTGCAGCTCTCCTTGTTGGTTTCCCACAAGCAAAGTAAATAGGAAATAAATGAGTCTGAAAAGCTGCAATTTCCAGTTTGTTGTCCTCTTGCTGCATATAGCACATAGGCGATTCCTTACTTGGGAAGTCTCTGTCTCCTTCCTTTCCTCTAAGTAAAGTTGTCCAACATGAGGGAACCAGCTCTGTTGTGTGCCTAGAAAGTGAGCTGAATCACAACCAGCATCATAAAAGGGTGGTGGTGGTGGGGGGGGTATGTTTATTCAGGCCTGATAAAGATAATTCTAGCAGACACTTCCTCCATACGCTTCTCTTTGCCATCCTTTGTATCTGTCATCTCCCTTCACCTTCTTTCCAGCCCCTACATTGACCTTTTCTTCAGAACAGGCTTTGTGCTTAGTAAGCACTGAGTTTGCAGGCACTTACAGTTTAGAACGCTGGGGTTTACTCCTGAGGAGGCTAGTATTTCCCTTTACCACAAATACTATATTTCTGTAACAACCCACCCTTTTTTTTGTTTTTGCTTTTCTTCTTTTCTTCTTTTTCTTGCTTGTTCGTTTTTTTTTTTTTTAAAAATGAATTTTTAAAAAACCCAATAAACCCTGTGATATATTTCCAATACTCTTTTTTCCATTCTCAAATATCATGGCTCTTTACAAACTCAGTTTCTATAAAAACAAGAGGTTTAACTCTAGGAAAAGATTATGACATGCAACAGTGACTGGATAATCAGCTATTCAACACTGAAGTCCTCAGAGACCCCTGCCATTTGCATATCTTCTCGGCATCAAAAACTTTTAATTATTGCTTTGTTATTAGCTAGCTTGCCTATGTAGTAACAGCTGGTAAATGGAGTTTAGAAATTATAGAAAGGTCAGCAGGAGCTGAAAATTACAGATGGCAGCCAACATGCTATGGTAAACAGTTCTGGCAATCTGCCTGCAACATGTATTGGGAGATGTCTCTGATTTTAATATATGCAGACACCAAAAGAATATACAAGTGCATATGTTTTTTTTTTAAAAAGTCAATGTTTTCTTATTTTTTTCCCTTTGTGAGGCCTGCAATGTCATGAGGAAATTTAGGATTTTGTAATTACTCTCCTGCATTATTACATGTGAAGTGACAGGAGATATAGGATGGTTCTGATGGGCCCAAACTCATATCAGTTTAGTCCACACAACTTAGAGATGCCAGTGTTGAGAAGCACCAGATAAATGAAATGGTTGTGGCAAGATGTGGTCTTGTATGGAAGAGTTTACAAGGCAATCCCCAAAGGATATCTTATTGTCCATTACATGCCTGCTTAGAAGAGTAAATATCCTGTTTCCCGCAAAATAAGACCCAGTCTTTTTTTTTTTTTGGCCTCCAAAAAGGCATTAGATCTTATTTGCTGGGATGTCTTTTCCACTGCCTCACCTCGCTGCTGCAGCACCAACCCCATGTGCTTGCTGCTGGCCCACTTCTGCAACTGCTTGTTGCTGCTTGCGTGCGGTGCCCCCCGGCCTCCATTTTGCTATCAGAGGCCTTCAGGAAAGGTCTTTGCAGCCAAGAAAGAAGCTCTTTCCAAAGATCTGTGACTGTGAAACGGAGGCTGGGGGTGGGGGGGCAGCATGTGTGTCAATCCAGAGCTTGTTTCTCAGCTGCAGAGGTCTTTCCTAAAAGTCTCTGATGGCAAAACAGAGGCCGGGGGCGATGCAAGGAAGCAGCGGCAAACAGCCACAGAAGAAGTGGGCTGGAACGGCGAGGCAGGTGTCAGGGCACGGGAGGCATGGCTGCAACTGTCCTAAGTTAAGCGGGTGCGGGGCACGTGGGGCAGCTCCACCCCCCCATTCCCTCCCTAGCTTGATAGTTACTGATACGCATGCAATGGAATAGGCAGGGTCTTAATTAGGGCTTATTTTGGGGGTAGGGATTATATTGGGTGTACATGTAAATTCAAGCTAGGGCTTATTTTTGGGTTAGGTCTTATTTTCAGGGAAACAAGGCAATTTGTACAATGCATTACATTTATGAAACTCAGTTTTTCACTTCTACATCTATGACTGTTCATAAAAATGATTGTGAAGTGTAAGAAAGATGATTTTTTTAAAAAAACCTCTTTGTGTTGCAATGCCCATAAATGGGAACAGTGTTGGCGGCTGATATACTGAATGGGGATTGTGACTTTGATTTTTCATAGGGGATGATGGAATTGAACTGTGGCCTGCTGTTCTTCAACAAAAAGTTGTCAGCTGAAATATGGATGTTTCTTTGAATTCTAAGCTCCTAGGATTCTTTTCTTATTCCCCCCCCCCCAAAAAAAAAAACCCTGAAAAATGGAAATAGTAATGAAGGCTACCTCATAGTCAGATTCTGTCAGGCATTCTGCAGGACTGCCTTTGCATTTGGAAGGCCAAGGATTGCATTTTGGGATGGGGCCATGCAAAGCCATCCGGTCACTCTGTCATATCACCTGAAAGCATGGTGCTCATGCATATTGCGGGGGGGGGGGGTAGGCTTAGAGTGGGAATGGGAACAGGAAGTTTCTAAGAAACAATCCCCATCCTTACCCTTAAGAGCCCCCAACTTAAC